CCCTGCTACTCTGTCCCTCAAAGTGTTTGACTGTATTCAGGAAACTTCTTAGCTTTGGTTTAGTCCAGTTGTGCTGACTACCCCTGTAGTGTGTGCGTCCTTGCCCTCACCTAAGATAATTCTTGTCTACTATCTCGTTAGTGAATAACCCTCTCCCTCCCTCCCCACTTTCATAACCATCAAAGAATGTTCTCTTCTGTGTTTAAACCTTATTTCTTTTCTGATAGTGTTTTTGAGAAGATTTACAGCAACCTGTTGACATACTTCACTTCCATTCGGGAACTATTTGCAGAATTTTTGTGATTGGGCTAGACTTAAACCGTATTCTTAGGATCTGTATAATCTTAATATTCACCTAACAGACTTGGCTGGGTTTCTCCTCTCACTGCTTAACCCCCAGAAGGCCACTGCTCCTAAGGAGGGTGTATTAGTTACCTAATGCTGCTTAACAAATTGCCCCAAAACTTAGTGGCCTAAAACAACAAACAGTATATAGGTCCAGAATTTGGGAGTGGCTTAGCAGGGTGTTTCTGGCTTTAGGGTCTTTCATGAGGTTGCAGTCAAGACGTCCACCAGGGCAGCAGTCATCTGAAAGCTTGATTGGAGCTACAGGGTCTTCCAAGTTCACTCACATGGCTGATGGCCAGAGGCTTCAGGACCCCGACACGTGGGCCTACCCACTGAGGAGACTGAATATCCTCACAACATGGCACTCTCATAGAGGCCAAGTCCAGAGACCACCTTTGCAGCGCCGCAGCTACACTCGGGCGCCCATGGGGACAAATGCAGAGAAAGCCCTGGGGAAGCTCCATTCACACAGTGGTGCTCTATGAGGGCGACTCTCCACATCCCCTCAGGAACTCTCTCGAGGGGCCAGAGGCAGCAGACGCTCAGGATCATTCTCCTACACAGGGGCCACCTTAGCGGCGGCTCCCACAGAAACACCTCAGAGTCCCCGGAGGGCCGCCCGCACCGTTCATGCCGTCCCCGCCCCCGCTTACCGGGACCATCCGGATGCGGGGCGCGGGTCCGGGGCTGGCTCTACACCGCGGGCCCCGCACCGCCCTTGGGCGCTCGGCGGGCGGGCACGCTGGGAGCTGGAGGCGCGGGCGGAGCAACAGACTGAAGCGGCGGCTGCGCGCGCGCGCCCAGAGCACACCCAGCCCCCCCGCCCCCAGCCGTGAGCGACTGCGGCGCGTGCGCCCGCGGCAGACGCCCTCTGCGGGTCGCTGGGCTGGTGGGCGCGCAGAGGAGTGAGGTATCGAGGGACAGCGGTAGGGCGGCGGCCCGGCCGGGACTCGGCGTCCGGCTCCCATGAGCCGTCGGACCAGGTGCCAATGGGCGTCCCCCGCCAATGCAGGGCACTGCGGCACGGGGACTGCGGCAGCCCCGGCTGCCCGCGACAAGGTCAATGTCGGTCCCGAGGAGGTGGCCCGGGAGAGGGCGCTGCGTAGGGCCGCGGCCACACACAACTGCCCGCGCCAGGGCGAAGGCGGGGTCAGGTGGGTCCTGCCCCAGCATCTGCCTGAAACGCGAGTTTGACTCTCTCAGCAGGCCCTGCCGAGGCCCTACTTCTCTCATCAGGCCCTGCTGCCCACCCAGGCCTCCGGGTGTATCCTTCGCAGTATCCCACATGCCTCCGGAGTGTCCAGGAGTGCTCTGTTTTCTGAGATTATTGGTCTTCCAGCTCCAGCAGTAAAACGGTACCCTATTGAAACCCACATTTTGCTGCAGCAGTCTCGTCCCTCTGACTACCCGTCAGCAGTTCTGAGGGCTATGAAGTGTATTACATTAAACTAGATGCTTTGAAAAAAGTGAGGGTGACAAAAAGAATATTAAAAGTAATAAGCCCCTAACACTAATTATAAAGTGAAAAAATACAAATGATATGCTGAGGACCTTTTTATTAAAATTATATTTTATTTAAAATTTTAATATACCTAGTGTTTCCAGATGAATTTAACCTCTGTATCACAAATACAATTCACCTCATCGTGTGGGGGATACAAAGAGGAACTCATTTTGTCCTTACCATCTTGGAATATAAGACAGGTAAGTATAGTACTATATATTACTGTCACTTTTAAGCACTTAAAGTGCCAGGTATTAGACACTTGCATATATTATGTAATTTAAACTTCTCAACATGGCTATAAAGTACCATACTTTTATTCCCTACAGATGTAGAAACTGAGGCATGGAGAGGTTAAACAACCTGCCTATTACGGTCCCGTAGCTAATATGTGGAACCTAGGAATTCTCACTCCAGAACCGATACTCCTAACCATTCATTGTACTGTGCTGCCTCCAGGACCACCTTAAGAATGCGCAGAAATATCCCAGGTAAACTTTTTTGTTTTTAAGGACCCTGACTATGTACAGAATTTGCTTAACATATGTATTACAAAATTAATGGGCCCGTATGAGGTGTAATATTTTAATGAAGATTTAGGATAAAACGTAGAGAAGTGGTACTTACATATTTGTTTATTGTCACATCAGTGCACATAAAGATGCTTTGTAGTGTCTAGGCATTATCTCTTCCTGTTCAAATATAAGTACTGTCTCTTCCTGTCTTTATTGTCAAATGCACCATTCCTGGCTAATTTCACATCTCCTACCTTAACAAAAAAAAAAGATAATGATGCTGTTATTACTCACAAGGCCATGACCCTTCAGAACCTGTTTATCTTGAATCTAAAGATTTTCTTGCCTCTGTAGTTTCCTAATACCATTTATTTAATGCTGGTTATATCATTACCTATGATGCTGCATCATCTTGCCACCTGTGAATACTGGCTTCTAAAGACTCTCTCAAGGGTTATTACTGTGTTTCCTTACTAATGACCACAAATGCAAATCTCACCCAGAGTATGAAGGAAAATGTGACTGATGATTTGTTCTTCTAGACTGTTAAATTTACCCTTTGGAATTTTATAATGTAAAAGTAGAGCAGTGTGCCCTACAACTGTCTTTTCTTGAATTCTTTAGGCCATAATCACTACATTCCTAAAATTATCTTTTTGAGTATTTACCACACCCGTACCTTACACACATCACCACCAGCAGGGATAATAGGTGAGGGGCCCTTGAATGAGTGAGAAGAGTGAGAACATTGGTACAAGGAATGTCCAGCCCTCCTCTAGCATGGTTAAGATCCACCAGGGAATACCCCTTCATGACAAAAACACTCAACAAACAAGAAATAGAAGGGAACTTCGTCAACATGATAAGGAGCATCTACAAAAATCCCTCAGCTAAGACTGCACTTAATGATGAAAGGCTGAGTGCTTTCCCCGTAAACACAGGAACAAGACAAGGATGTCTTTTCTCACCACTTTTATTCAGTGTTATACTGGATGTGCTAACCAGTGCAATTAGGCAAGAAAATAAAATAAATGGCATGCAGATTGGAAAGGAAGAAATAAAACTATATTTGCATATGACATAATCATGTATATAGAAAACCCTAAAGAATGCACTAAAAATATATTAGAAATGATAAAACAAGAACTAAATAAACTGAAAGACATCTATGTTCATGGGTCAGAAGATTTAATATTGTAAAGATGGCAATACTCACCAAATTGATCTACAGATTCAACACAATCCCTATCAAAATCCCAGCTGGCTTCTTACAGAAATTGACAAACTGACCCTAAAATTCATTTGGACATTCATGAGATGCAGAATAGCCAAAATAATCTTGAAAAAGAAAAACAAAGTTGGAGGATTCACACTTCCCAATTTCAAAACTTACTATAAAACTACAGTAATCAAGAGAATTCAGTACTAGCACAAGGATAAGCAAATAGATCAATGGAATAAAATTGAGAGTCCAGAAATAAATACTTACATTTACACTCAATAGATTTTCAGCAAGGATGCCAAGACAATTTAATGGGAAAAGAATAGCCTTTTCAACAAACGGTGCCGGGACAAGTGGATATCCACATGCAAAAGAATGAAGTTGGACCCCTGTCTCACACCATGTATGTGTGGATCAAAGACCTAAATGTAAACTCTAAAACTATAAAACTCTTAGAATAAAACAGACATAAATCTTTGTGGTCTTGGATTAGGCATGACACAAGCAATGAAAGAAAATAGATAAATTGGGCTTCATCAAAATGAAAAAATGTTTGTGCTTCAAAGGATGCCATCAAGAAAGTTAAAAGACAACCCATGGAATGGGAGAAAATATTTGCAAATCATATATCGGATAAGGGATTTGCATCTAGAATATATAAAGAACTCTTACAACTCAATAATAAAAAGATAAAATAACCCAATTAAAAAATGAGCAAAAGACCTGAATAGGCCTTTATTCAGAGAAGGTAATACAAATGGCCAATAAGCACATGAGAAGATGCTCAGCATCATTAGCCATCAGGGAAATACAAATCAAAACCAAAATGAAATACCACTTCACACCCACAAGGATGGCTATAATAAAAAAAGACAGTGTTGTAATATAGCAAGTGTTGGCAAGGATGTGGAGAAATTGGAACCTTTATACATTGCTGTTGGGAATGTAAAATGGTACAGTTGCTTTGGAAAATAGTCTGGCAGTTTCTCAAAAGGCTAAACATAGAGTTACCGAACGACCCAGCCAGTCCCTTCCTAGGTATATACCCAAAAGAAATGAAAACCTATGTCCACATAAAAACTTGTAAACAAATGTTCATAGCAGCATTATTTATAATAGCCAAAAATGGAAATAACTTCTATGTCTGTCAAGTGATGAATGGATAAGTAAAATGTTATATATATCCATACAATGGAATATTGTTCAGCAATAAAAAGTGAAACACTGGTATATGCTATAACATGGATCAACTTTGAAAACATTATGCTAAGTGAAAGGAGTCAGTCACAAAGGACTACACATTGTATGATCCAATTATATGAAATCTATAGAGACAGAAAGTAGACTACTGATTGCCTAGAGCTTGGGGTATGGGAGGTTGGGGGTAATAGCTAAGGGGTGTAAAGTTTCTTTTTGTAGTTATGGAAATGTCCTGCTAACGTGTACAGGGTTTCTTTTGGGGATGAAAAATGTTGTAAAATTAGATTATGATGATGGTTGCACAACTCTAATATACTAAAAACCATTGAATTATGCGCTTTTAAATGGGTGAACTTGTTAGTATGTAAATTATATTCTCAATAAAGCTGTTTAAATTAATTAATTTTTTAAAAATCATGCTGAACACTTTGAGGGACAGAGTAGCGGGGTAGGAGTCTGGAACCATGCTTTCAGGGGACATCTAGGTCAACTGGCATAACAAAGCTTATTAAGAAAATGTTCTGCATCCTACTTTGGTGAGTGGTGTGTGGGGTCTTAAAAACTTGCAAGCAGCCATCTAAGATGCATCAGTTGGTCCCAACCACCTGGAGTAAAGGAGAATGAAGAACACCAAAGACACAAGGAAAGTATTAGCCCAAGAGACAGAAAGGGCCACGTAAACCAGAGACTTCATCAGCCTGAGTCCAGAAGAACTAGATGGTGCCTGGCTACCACCAATGTCTGTCATGACAGGGAACACAACAGGGAGTCCCTGATGGAGCGGGAGAAAGGTGGGGTGCAGAACTCAAATTCTAGTAAAAAGACCAGACTTAATGGTCTTAACTGAGACTGGAGGAACCCTGGAAAGCATAGCGCTTGGATTTTCTATCAGCCCAGAACTAAAACAATTTCCGAGGCCAACTCCTCCGACAGGGATTGGACTGGACTGTGGGACATAAAGTTATACTTGTGAGGAGTATGCCTCTTAGCTCAAGTAGATACAAGAGACTAAACTGGCAGCTTCTGTCCGGAGGTGAGATGGGAAGGCAGAGAGGGTTAGGAGCTGGTTGAATGGACATGGAGAAATCGGGTTGGAAGGAGAAGTGTGTTGTCACAGTATGGGGAACGCAATTAGAGTCACATAACAAGGTATGTATAGATTTTTGTATGGGAAAAAATAAAAAAATTTAAAAAAATAAATCATGCTGGCCAGTAGAAGCTATCCACCTGCCAGACACCTCTCCTGGGGCTCTGGGATGAGCCCATAGGCTGAAATCCTGAAGAAGCCTGGGAATCTGAAGGACTCCACGTGGGGGGTGGGGAGTGGATGTGGGGAGGAGAAAGGTTGGAAAGGGCCAAAAAAGGGGAGAAATGGGGACCTGAACCTTATTGTTGTTTGCTGTTGAGTTGATTGCAACTCATGGTGACCCTATATGACAGGGTTGAACTGCCCCATAGGGTTTCCTAGGCTGTAATCTTTACAGGAGCAGATCCGCAGGTCTTTCCTTCTGTGGAGCAGTTGGTGGGTTCTAACTGCACCAACTTTTTGGTTAACAACCTACTGCTTAACCATCGCGCCATCAGGGCTCATTGACCCAGGCCTTTTGGGTTCTAATTGGGGCTGGGAGCACCCCTCCCAGATAGCACAAGGCAGCCCCACAGCCATCAGAGGTAGATTTAAAAAATTTCAAGGTAGGCACACCAAAGCATGGAGCCGCCTAAGGCACAAGGCCTGAGGCAAGGGACCCATGTGCTTTGTCTAAAGACAGTACTGATTACCTCCACACTAGGCACCATGGAATAATTAAAACAAAGTGCTAGGGGAGTGCTGAGAGGTTCTGGAAATTACAGTGCAAGTAAGAGCAAGACAGTACTTTCCCCTCTGGTACTGGAGAAAAGCCACCTAGACAGAACTATAATGCAAGG